AAAAAAAGCTCAAAGAGCCGTTGACACACAAGAAAAAACCAGCTGAAAAAAAATAAAAAATAAATAGAAGAGGCTCCAAAAAGAGCCGTTAAACAAAAAAATAATAAAAAAATAAAAGAAGCTAAAAAAGAGTCGTTAAACAAAAAAAGGCAACTGGACAAAAAGTAAAAAAAAAAATGCTGAAAGAGCCATTAACACTCTTGAATGATACCCTTAGGCCCACAAATTAATTAATGTGTGCATTGGTTTAATGGGGACCAATGCATTTAAATGGTCCAAAATAATGCACCAATGCAGGTGCTCTAATAAATAAAATGTAATTTCCATTGAAAAAGTGAGTTGAGAAAAAGGAATAAAAATTGATTTAGGAAAAAGTATAGATATATATAAGATAAGATAAGAAATTTAATAATTAAAGTGGATGTGATATAATAAAATAGTAATTGATATGATTGATATTTAGAAACGTGTAAGTAGATGAATAATATCTATGGTTAGAAACTATATAATAATATTTTTTTATTATTTTTTATTGTGTTAGTGTGTCGTTAGAGAACCTACAATGTATTGGGTCTAATTTTACATATGTGGCATATAAATAGACTTAAGTCCTAAATGACATGTACAAACCCAAGTAAAAAAACTCAAAAGCTATTCAATGCAAAAATAAAATACTAGGTCTAGCATAAATGACAACCAATAAAAATATTCTAATATGTTTCATTTATTAAAATAATATTTAAATGACGAATAAATGAGGAGGGTTTGGGTTTGTACTTGGGTCCAAGTGTGGACTTGGTCTTTTTTTTTTTATTGTCACATAAGCTAGACTAGGTCCACTTTTAATTGCATTGTGAAACACTTTTTTATAGTCTAGGTCTATTTCCTACATGCATGTTATTTTTTTCTAAGAGCATCTACAATGCTTTTGGTCTCTTTTTGCATATGGCAAATAAATAGACTTAAGTCCATAATGACATGGACAAAACCCAAGCTAAAAAATCTAAAATCTATCCAATGCAAAACAAAAAGTACTAGGTCTAGAATACTAAACAACCAATAAAAATATAGTAATAATAAATGCATACAAAAAAAATGTGTTTTGCCTATTAAAAAAAATTGTGAACAA